CGATGAGATTAGCGTACAAATTATTATAGACTTACGAATAGTACCTACAGCTAGAGTAAGTATCGAGACTTGTACATTAAGGATGTATTGGCTATACAGTCAATCCCAAAAGATTATGTACCATAGAAAAACGCATTTCCTATAATTAAAAATAGTGCACTTTTCTTCTAATTTCGATATTTAATGAGTTACATATGATTATATGGCATTTTATTGATGTTGACAAAATCCGACCATCCCAGCGTCGAAACGGCGAACTTTTGGAAAAAAATTTCGTTTTTCCTCAATAACTCCTAAACCCTTGAAGATACGGGAAAATTGCATAGGACAATTCTTGTAGAGGACGATGAGATCTACACTTTCTGTATAAAAGTTTGTCGCTAACATTAATAGTTTACGAGCTATTGACGAAAAACGAAAAAACAGTTTTTTGCAAATTACTCGTTAACTATTGACGCTAGCGAAAACTTTTTATACAGAAATTGTAGATCTCGTCGTCCTCTACAAGAAAGGTCGTATACAATTTTCCCGTAGAACCAACAGTTTAGGAGTTATTGGCAAAAAACGAAAATTTCGCGAAATCTGAAGGGGTACCCCTTGGAAAAATCTCGGAAAAATCGAAAATTTTTTTTGTTGTTTATTATTAGCAATGTTTTTCCGACGTGTAATTTCTTTTTAAAAAATGCGTTTCTAAAGTGCATAAACTTTTGGGATTGATTGTATAGCCAATACATCCTTAATCTATGTTGCTGATTCATAGTACCTATCAATTTTTACATATTAATGTACATACATTACACGTAACAGTAATAATATCAACATGAAAAAAATACAATTCTAAAACTCATGGTGCTTTACAGCTTGTGTGGAACTTGGAGTTTATGATTTTGCAAATCGTACCATTCGACCGATTTCCCTCTCATATATTTCTTAATCAATAACTGTACCTAAAATATGTTGCTGGAGCCTCTGTTCTGGATTTGTATAAATTTCAATATCGTATTTTTCATTTCTCTCGAAGCTGCAAGATTATTAAACTTTGAAACGGTACATGCTTATCATAGATCTGTTACTTCGAGCTATAGGAGAGTAGGCACGAATTATATTAATATTAATCGTATCACATAAAATCGTCTGAATCATATCCACTATTTTCCGCGTTCGACGTCATGTTGGATGAATTAAACAACGAGTTATAACTCCTGTAAGAATACTAAAAAGTTTAGTTCCAAGGATCGAATTAATTCGTAAGAACACGTACCTCATTTCTGCCTCTTCTTTCCTTCGCTTCTCTTCTGCTTTTTCTTTCTCCTTTTGCTCTCGTAAAAGCTTCTTCTTGTCCTCCCTTTCATTCCTATCGCGCTGTTCCCTCTCTGCTCTGAAATTTACTTGCTCCAAGCGTTTGGTCTTATTCAGTCTATTAACAACAGCGTTTATTCGCTTGGCGACGTGTATCTTTCGTAGATCTTTGTCTTTATGGAAACCGATCTGTCCTACGTCCATGCCCTGAGTCTTTTTTAAATTCGACCACATCGTGTATACTACATCAACGTCGTTTACTTTATTCCCCTCGATGCTGTTAGCTTTTACTAACTGTGCAGCATCCTCTAACACGGTACTAGGTATATCGTCTATCGTTTGTCCCTACAAACGTTCATAATTGTAATAACATAAATTTGTACAAGATAACGAAACTTACGAAAGCAAGCCGGAGATATACGTGTGCGGAGGAGTATTTATCAACGTGGAACCAAACGTCTTCTGGCCAACCCCACTTTATGAGATCTTCATCTATAACGCGATGAATTAGAAAATTAATATTTCGAAAAAATTCTAATATAGCTTTTAACTTACTTTCATATTTATCAACACCCATGAATAATGTTACCGGTGGTTGTACCACTGCAATTCAAAACGTTTTTCAATGATTTTTATTATAACCTCGTTGAATAATTTCGTTAGTAAGAAAAAATAATAAGTGGAAATTAAGTGTATCGCAGGTGAAACGAATGATGAACAACGTTACCTTCGCTCATAAAATAATAAACCATCGTTAGGAGGAATTTCGTAGAAACACGTGGTGTATTTTATCTGTCAAACTTAAACTCGCGAATCCGATAGCAGCGACGGTAAGGTGCACACACAGGTTCGTAATTACCCCCCCCCCCTCTCTCTTTCAGTTTTATTGAAAATAATTTATATTTAATTAAAACTAATGATACAGTAATTGAACTATGGTACACTTGCGTCAAACATAATTTACTGGTTAAATAACTAATCATCGATTGACTTTTTACACGAGTTATCAGAAACGTTTCTGTAACTTTCAACGGGAAATTTATATGTATTATTGTACAGAATATTTTATAGAATGATCAATAAATCAAGCATCAATCAAGTATTGCTTCATATGAAGCGCGTGTTTCTCAGCGTAACAGGTGACGATAATGTGATCGAGAATCGGGCCTTCGGGATCTCGTATTCGACTGTCCGTAAGTACCGGCGATTCCAACATGGACAGGTACACTAAAAATTAGAAATTAATTACACGAAAGTCTTATGAACGTTTCATTACTAACGAAGATAATCTTACAAAGTAACATATTTGGATTTGTGAGACTAAGTTGGATACGAGGATCGTTCATGATCGCTTTATAAATCGGATTATCCGGATCGAGTTCTTTATCAATGTCGTGCAAGCACTCGTTTCTCTCGCCAAGCAGCCATTCGCACTGCAAATAAAGATATGTTGATTTGTGTAGACGAAATGAATTACAGAGACAGATTTCTCACAGCGTTAGTTCGATTGTTCCCAGTAATTTTCAGAGCTTTGATTATACTCTTCTCTTCGAATCCCATTTCTGACAGTATCTCGAAAGCTGGAACATTGGGCTTGAAGTCCATTTTCCTAAACCGTTTGTAACTGTCTAGCAAACGTTCTACCACACTGAGTACATTCTCGTCTTTCAAATCTTCACACTCTGCGTAACGACGTTTGATTATAAATTATTATACAAGAATTCTTAATATTACCTTTTTCACTGGTCATGAAATCTTCGTCCTCGTCGTCTGAACCATACTGATGGTCTGTCAGCCAGTCTAAAGCTTCCATCATGTTTAATCTGTGAGAAATCGAGAATTCAAAGATACAACTCATTGACGTCTATCAATGTTCAACACCGATTTAATATACTTTTTCAACCGGAGAGCTTTAATAACGCTTCTGTCAGAATAGCCCATCTCTGTCAGAGTCTTCACAGCGTTTGGATCGATGTGCGGTTTACATCTAGCTTCCAATTTTTGTTTCAAAACCTCGCAGTATCTGTCTGCGTCTGGACTGTACGTCATGATTCTCGCAGACGCCTTGGCGAGCGTTATTAAAATTTTTCGTAAATCATTCTGGAACTACGATAAAGCATGTATAATATAAATCTCTTTGCATGGAAAATAAAGACAAGCGTATATATTTACTTCTGCAGGGCAATAAAGGGACGAGATACGTTTAGGTGGATTACGTATGGGCAGATCTTTCGTTGCTTGCAATATTAATTCCTCGTTTGGACCTTTGAAATTCTCCTGCGATAGTTCTTTAATAGAAGGTGCTCGGCGACTTTTAATTAACAATAATTCATCTATGATAGGAGAAGTTTGGTGAGTACGAATCGATCGGAAAATAGGAAAATCAATCATTTTACCATTTTGGCTAATTTTCTCGTCGGACACGCTGTTGCTGTCCGTGAGCTCTGTGAATTTCGACGTATGAATAAGACGATAATTGGCCGAGTTCCTGGACGCATTATCACTATAGAAATGTTTTAACCCAGTATTTTTTATTTTATTTATCGTCATATCTGACGTAACATTGATGCTCTTAATTTTCCCCTCTGGACTAAAGGAATATGAATAATATTTGTTAGTAACAAGAAATATCGTTAACCGTCTAATAACACTCTACCTTATAATATTAATTGAAAGTTGTTCGGGCTTAGACATCGTGATATGAACTGTTAGGCTGCTGTTGCTTTGTCTGTCGTTACTGAACAATAAATAACACCTACAATTTTTGTCAAACTTCCTCTTCGATCTGTTTTAGTAGAGATACTGTCAGGTACTCAGGTATTTACCTTTTACATAGAAATTTTCGCTTCGTATCAATTTGTTCAGAACTACATTGTATTCGCCTGCTTAACACCGAGGGTTATAAACCAATTCATTCTGTCTTGCAATTAAATCAGAGTTCGTCGTTTTCAACCATATCGCGTATAAAATGATCAATCTCTACGAAAATCACGACACAATCGACTTACATTTTTTTTCTCGACGTATGAGTTCTATATAAAGTAAACAGATCTACGTTCTACATATACATATATATATATATACGTTATCTATCAGAAATTGTTGACTGATTTTCGTACGAAACATCAAGTTATGAAAGTGATTTCCCATTTTTCAAGACCATTTTTATTTCGTGAGAGGAAGACGATTTCGAGTCTAATGAGACTGAGTACAAGTGCCAGTAGATCAAAACGATTGTTGGGAAAATAATTGTGGATACTGTAAACAGGTTCTAACGAGACCCTTGCAGCGTTTAAAACAGGTTGGATAATATAAAGGAATAAGTAATAAGATTTCACTCGTCATTTATTTAAACCGTATTATGAACATTCATAAGAAATGCATTTGTAGAATGGCTGAGAAACCTGGGTGCGGTGAATTGCAGCAGTTGGTTCAAGAAGAAGAATGTGAAGAACCGTTGAGTCACGGTGGAGAAGCTACGCCACCGTCGACGCCAGCAAGATCTCATCACCCAAGTAAAAATGATACACACAGTTCTCACATATCGGTACGAATTCTGGAAAATCCTTTCACAAAGATACGTTATATCGATCTTGATTCTTCACTGATGTCTGATTTATAAGAGCACTTTCAGCAACAAGTTTTATGGGAGAGCAATGTACAAACATCGCCGATTGTTAGCAAAGGTAGTTCTGGTCAAGCGACAAGCCAAGGGTCGATGGTCTCTGGTCGTGCGGTGAATCTCTCGAATCATACTAATCAATCACGTTTAGTCTACATGAACGAGAAGGAAAAGCAAAGACCAAACCGACCGGAATTATCAAAAATGAATCGCCAGCATAAAGGTAGCTTCATGTTTTACACAAAATACATTTTCAAATACTTTACCTTTATTTTTACTTTGTGTTATTTCTTAATGACGCACAAGTGTTATTTATAATTTCTGTATGTTTAATTTTCTGTTCTAAGTATGTTTTTTTATGTTTTCATCACATTTCTTTGATCGTGCTTCGGTGTCATAAAATAAAGCCACGGCGCCATGCAAACATCATTGCTTTTTGTCAGAGGTACCCGATGTTCGCCGTATGGAACAAGCTTTATTACACCTTTTAGAGGATTTCCACAGCGGGAATTTACGCGCGTTTGGTAGGTGAAATGCATTCGTACGAGTCAAGAAGGCGAGATGAAAAAATTAGATAGACGTTGTTTGATACAGGGAAAGATTGTAGCATGGAGCAAATGACAGAAATACGAGAGCAGCAAGAGCAATTAGCTAAACTGCATTTCGAGCTAGGCCAGAGGCAAGGGATTGGTAATGAACAATCTGGCCTTCGGCATCCGAGCGCTAATATGGATAATTTATTGTCGTGTCTCCAAGAACTCAGCGTTTGTATCGAAAAATTGCATAGCAAGTAATACGAGAATGCGACCTGAGAATCGAGTGGGTATGCTTTAATTATAAGAATAAGATTCATAGTTATACCACCGAGGAGATACTATTAATTACATCAATTTTGATACTCAATTGTATTAATTGTTTGCTTCCAATATAATTTTACGCAATCTGTTTGACTATAACAAATGAATTTAAAAAATAAGAATTATATAATAAAACGTTATTCTCATAAGATACTCGTGTATAATTAATTGCCCTTCATTAATACTGACTCTCGTGGCGGAGAACGAACGCAGTTGTTCCTCGATAAATTAAATTTGATTTAAAAATAAATGAAGCGCGCTTAGGCAGGAGCCGCGAAACAGTTGTTTATAATACGATTATTAATACAACAATCCGACTGGAAAATAAAATCTGCTGTTACGCGTGGAATAAAATCTTAAGTGCAGATGAAGAAGCATGCGTTCAGCGAAAGAATCCTCGACGGCCCTCCGAAAATCGTAATCGTGTCTCAATTGATTTTGAAAACATTCGGAAGTTTATGCTGGGCAGCAGCCATTTCCGTTACCTTGCTAGCCTTGCTATATCAAAGAACTGATCAGAATCACATCAGAACTATGTTTTGTGCTACGAGAGATATCGATGTATCCAGTTGAATGCCTTATTTCGTTTGAAAGAAACAGTGTTAGGCACTTCCATCGATTTCACTACGTTCGTTCGACAAGACTGATCTTCAATGTTTTCTTTCCAACCTCAGAATCAGGTTTGTACGCGGTTACTGTCTCCTGGATGGTTTCGTTCGCGAAATCTTTTATTTTTAATTCAATAGACTGTTCAACATATAGATTTTGACGTTCCGCGACGTAGCAAGTGCACACGCACGTATATATGCATTAAATATTGTTAAAACGTGTCTGCGTACGTTTCTATTTCATAGCCTTATGTTTACCACACCAACGCAGACAAAATTTATTTCGCTCGTTGCAATACTAATAATTCATCTCAAACGCATTATATTCCATAGTTTTCCTACATTTAATTACCAGGATAACAGAGTAGTCCTTTCGAATTCGTAACACTTTATTTCTATCTCTAATTAATGGATCATTATTTAACATTGCTAGGTGTTGTATCATCTGGCACAATTAACTTCGGTGGTTAGCCCAAAATCCACGTCGTATTCGAGCAAAGGCAAAAGACAAAATGAGTTTAAAAAAGCCGCGGATGACATCTCTGCTCCCAGGATGTCAAAGGCAAGTCGTTTAGAAGATAATAGTAACAGGATTCTCTCGTAATTACATAATTTATCAACTTCGAGTCTCGTTTCAGGCCACGAAAAGTTCTATGGATATGTTAATAGGCAAATTAAATATGTACGATGTGATGACAATGCTCGACATAAGAACGAATAATGTACTGGTAGTGTTAGACCAACTTTCTATGAAGATCTTTAAGAGAAATTTAGAGAAGGATAATAAGTGGAGAGTATCCTACGTATCCGGATTGAATTTCGCAGAGAATAAACAAAAATTTACGAGTACACAATTTACCGACGAAATTCTTATGCCCACTGTGTATTTATCATCGAAACAGCAGCATAGGACGTTATGTACTTTTTGTATTAAAAATCCGTTTAATTATCATGTACAAATCCGTAGTTTTAGAACAAAGCGTAACGTAAATGCTGAATTGGAAAAAGAGTCGTCCTTTATAAATAGATTTAAAAAATGGCTCGGTCATTTCTCGAGAACGGTAAGTGTAAAAAACGTTAACGATTCGATGCGGACGGTAAAAGACGTATAGTCTGTTTTTATAGAACACAGGGATAGCACACGTCTTGAAAGAGAAGGACCCAGCGGCGATTAAAAATTTGTTCAATAGTTCTCAGATGTCGACCGAGGAACACAAAAGAGTGACCTCGGCTTTTATAGAAGGATACGAAGCAGGACTTCAACGCCAAATACGTACGAGCATAGGATGGCATAAAATAATATTTAGCTTATTAACGGGAACTTTATTAGTGATAATCTGGTACGGAGGTACGTACATTCTTAATGCGTTCATTGTTTCGAATCAGTTAACGAGGTTCAGATTATCAATAGTAAGTAATTTTTTTTCTATCTCCTTTCCTGTGTTTAAAGTTTATGCAGTAGGAAGTGGACTAAGATTTTCAATGGACGGTATTAGATTTAGACCAGAAACAACAGATATAACTTTTAACGATGTCAAAGGGGTAAGGTTTTTCCTTGATAACACTCGTAATCATTTTCTCCCGCCACTGAACGTTCTGCATTTGTTTACTTATACGTAATTAGGTTGCAGAAGCCAAACAAGAGTTGAGCGATATAGTTGAATTTTTGAAGAATCCAGAGAAGTTCTCCGCGCTCGGCGCAAAATTGCCTAAAGGTGTGTTATTGGTAGGACCACCTGGAACGGGAAAGACACTGTTAGCTCGTGCAGTGGCTGGCGAAGCCGGAGTGCCATTCTTCCAAGCAGCTGGGCCCGAATTCGATGAGATTTTAGTGGGGCAAGGTGCGCGTAGAATGAGAGACCTATTCAGTAAGTAAAACGCTTCTTACTCATAGATATTTGCCGTAGACGAACATGAATGTTATCATCACTGCCTCTAATATTAACTACTTCCGTGCTGTACATGATATCTCGTAACAGCTTTATTTATAATCGTTTCAGAAGCGGCAAAAGAAAAAGCGCCGGCCGTAATATTTATAGACGAAATTGATTCCGTCGGTGCTAAACGAACGAATTCGGCACTCCACCCATATGCGAATCAAACAGTAAATCAATTACTTACAGAAATGGACGGGTAAACCAAAAATTTCCTCTTATCGCGACGTACAAAATGATTCTACGAGTCGCACGATTATTTACAATCTTCCATATCTGTTTCACGTTCGACAATTGTCAAATACTCTGTTCCGTTTGATCGTAGATTCCTTCAGAACGAAGGTGTCATAGTATTAGGTGCAACGAATAGGCGCGATGATTTGGACAAAGCTCTGATGCGACCTGGTCGTTTCGACGTCGAAGTCGTCGTCGACATACCCGACTACATGAGCCGAAAGGAGATCTTCGACTTGTATTTGTCGAGAGTATTGACGCAAGAAGTCGACGCAGATTACCTAGCGAAGTGCACTGTAGGATTCACCGGAGCTGATATAGAGAACATGGTACCCCTCGGCATTTTATATAATTACAAACATGCGTTGATTCCGAGAGAGGAAATAATCGTTCGTTTCGATAGGTGAATCAAGCCGCTTTGAGGGCAGCTATAAACGATGCCGAATACGTGACGATGAAACACTTAGAATACGCGAGAGACAAATTGATCATGGGCCCGGAAAGAAAATTAAGGATCAACGACAACGAGACTAATAGTATTACGGCATATCACGAAGCTGGACACGCGTTAGTCGCATATTACACTAAAGACGCGCCGGCGTTACATAAAATAACTATCATGCCTCATGGCCATTCCTTGGGACACGTGAGTATAACAATTATTAGTGTTCTCATTTTTTTCTTTCTGTAATTCGTGGATATTTTCCGATTATAGACCGCGTTTCTGTCGAACAAAGATGAACTTCACATGACAAAATCAAAATTACTGGCGCAAATGGACAGCGCGATGGGTGGTCGCGCTGCGGAGGAATTAATCTTCGGATCCGAGAAAGTGACCGCAGGAGCACAGAGCGATTTCAGGGTATGACTCTTAATAGAAAGAAAATATCACTTTGTTCATTTCGATTGTTTTCACTGTGTGTGAAATGTACATTGTAGGCGGCAACCTCTATCGCAGAGGAGATGGTAAATTTGTACGGTATGTCCGAGAGAGCTGGTTTCGGGGTTCGCATGGGCAATCGAATAGAAGGGTATCAGTCGGGGCCTAGTACGAGCGATCTAGTAGATAACGAAGTGAAACGCCTTTTACAAGTAAGTTTCTTACGATTGTTCTAATTCGATCTGAATTTTAATACTTTTACGTTCCCTAGGAATCGTACGATCGTGCGAAACAGATATTACAAAAACACGGGAAGGAACTTAATAAAGTAGCGGACGCGTTATTAAAATACGAAACGTTGAGTTACAAGGACGTTAAAGCTGTAATTAACGGGGAAAAGATTCCGACGGAAAATCTGAAAAGCCCACCGCGAATCATAGAACCGTCCGAGCATGTATTATAACTAGCCGTGGCGAAATTCAATTTGAAATGCTGACTAAAATAAATTATTTGATGCATCATCGCATTTTATAATTACGATTTACGTTGCTTTACAATTATAGTTTTTACACGGGACGCAAAATTATTCGGAAGCCGTATCTAACTTTCAATCGACGACATTGTACGTGGTTCGTTAGTTCTATTCATTCGCATGATTTTCGCTTAAAACGTCGGCGTCGAGACAATGTAGAAAAGTTATATAAAATATGTGAGATATTGTACGTAATTATATATGCAAGCGAGATTGTATATAATTATGTACTGTAAAAAGTCTTAATACGTTTTAACAAGGTTTATAGCAATAATATCATAGTTAGACTCACAGTTTATATAATTCTATAATAGAATCGGATCATGTACTTGTAAAAATGTGTTTCATTATTTCATTTCGATCCTTGGTATCATCGGGGGGGAAAACGTTGCCAGTCATTTTCCATTGTGGATCTCTATGAAAGGGACAGATACGTTTATCAGTAAACGGTCTTATCCGTTACCAGGTACTTAACTGTTTCATTAGAAAAAAGTACTTACCGTTCATTTTGTTCGAGCAAGTAAAACCGACGATAGAGAAATTAATATTGAGACCGTGCAGTGTTAACATTTTATTTACCATACAGATATTATAAATTATACAAAATTATATATGTATTCATATATATTTTATATTCAGTATAATCCCTATCTGTCTTGTCATTATACCATAAAAACTACGCTAAATTATTATTGCAACTAGATCGATTTAATACATCTTTGAATGACTATGCTTCCTCATTGATGCTCGTCGTTTTACTAATTCATCCAAAAGGGTCGATTAATGCCACTCGATAAAAGGATCGTGTCGAACGTAATCGAAATAAATAATCTGGCTAAACTCGCAGAATGAGCAAATATGCGAATCAAGGGGAATAAGGTGGTAATAAAGTTTCTAGAAAATTAAGGTATACGTAATATATGTACAATAAAATTGACGTACGGGAAAAAACCGTTTATAAAAATATTCGTACAAATATCACAGCTCACTAACTCCGAGAGATGACAACAGTTAAAAACGTTCTCTAAACATTTGATAGTCAATAAAGAAAATTCGTTAATCCGAGAACAGGACATAGGCATATTTCAGTTCAACAATGAAACAGTGAATCAAACGATATCTACGTATAGTTCTATCTTATCATATACTTTTTAAACTTCTGATACCTGTTCGAAACCTCGACCACCGCTTACAAGTATCGCTACCATTTTCATATAAAAAATAAACGTTACTTTTCGCTAACGTATGCACGTAGTACAAATTGGATCATGATCAACTCTCAATACGAAAGAACGTCAAAAATACTCGTAGCAAACTGACCGATAGGAAATGTACAATTTGTAAAATGTCTAAAGTCATCCGAACGTCGTATAATTTATAGATGAAGAGAAAGTCTAAATTACAAAGAAGATGCGTCAGAAACTTGATAAACCCATAAACGTATGAATTTAGTGTACAAAGCTTGCCTCTGAATTAAAGTAGAGAAAGATATATATATGTATCTGTAAGTTTTATTATGAGGAATAAAAAAAAAGGGGAATTACGATTCTTCCATGTTTCTTCGTACAATGACTTTGCTGCACACTCTTTTGTGGTTTTTTACTAAAAAAGAATTTTTATTTACAAAGCAAAATAAATTGCCAGTGACACTAGTACACGCAATGGGAATACCGCTTTCCTATTGCCTGATTCAGTCTGGCTGGCGTTCGACCATACAAAAATGGGTAAAGAAATGTTTGCCCTTCATTTATCCAACGAACAAGCGAAATGATCTCGATGAATTAAAAGAGTTCTCTGAAATATATGTACGTTAAGCCTCTCTGGAACGGCGTCTCGTGTCTGTGCAATGATCACCGCCGAGCTCGCTGTTCACTTTCTCATTTTCAAACGTTAGATACAAAAATGTTTCGCAAGGAACAGAACGCAGATCGTTTAATCGTGGCAAGATAAAGTGTCGCGTATTACAAACGATAGTGTGACGGGAAATAAGCAAGGAGATCGACTCGTGTAAGTCCGTATTCGTTTCATCTTCTGTCCAACGTGTCTCGTGTGATTTTCTCTGAGGGGACTGAAACAGGGGAGCCGAATCCAATTAATCAAACGTGCAGAACAAAAGATGCCTTAGCGATTTATGATCGATGGATCTTGTCTCATTGGAAACTGATTTCGTTCTACTAATTATTTCTACAGTCGTGACGATCGATAAATTATTGCATACTACGATTACGACATATAATATTTTTACTGGTCTATGAAATTGTCCTACCCCATGCAATATTGTTAATATCCAAGTAATAATCCAGTTTGTACTCCATTTTTTCTCCGTCGAAATTTAAAGAAACGTTACAATCATTCTGAACTCATCATCACGTTATACAAGAGACTCATACAGAAAATTGTATTATAAAAGAAACAGAAAGAGAAGAGAGTTACGCTTAGACGTAATTAAAGAATTCCACGTTGAAACATGATCAGGATACGTTGAAAAAAAAACGAGAATACAGAGAAGGAAGTTCCGATGGAGGGAAAAATACAGTGCAAAGTTAGATCGTATGGTAATTCCGTTATACCATGCCCATTGAACGATCTTGCCCCCATCAGCGTGTTTTTCCAAACGATGTTCGCGATTCAATACGCAGACAAGACCGTCGTTATTCCGTCGTTTAAATATAACTAGAATCTATTGACTGTCCGTGTAAGTAGTATGAACGTATATATATTCAATACAATGTTTCTGCTTTTGCCTGGTTTCTCGTTTAATAGATTAGGTGCTGTTACATTACGGATGTCTAGATACCAGTATCAATTTCGATTAGCTAATTTCCAATACGATTCAACAACAATTCTCCTTTATCTCGGTTTTTTTCTTTTTCTCTTAAAACAGAAGATAGTACGTATTGCACATTGTGAACGTCGTGTAAACCACCGTCTCACGCCATCTCCTTCTTTCCCACGAATTCATCGATATCCGTATCTAGATGTAAATTGTACAGCACGTACAAACCCTGATTACACGATAATATCGAATAATTCCTACCTAAAATCTTTGTGCGTACAACAACAAGTAATATCGTAGTACTGTGTTCACTTTTGTTTCGCTTACAAGTTATTAATAATAGTAGTACTATTATAGAAATTTCCAAGATCTTCGATCGTTTGGTCAAGTTTTTCGAAACTTAGTTATTTGCGCCCGGTAGCATTCTATGCTCGCCCGTTTCGTCTCTCGTTTAAAAAGATTTCTGTCGACAGTGGAATTAACAATCAGATTTCGACGAAACCCGGTACACTAATAACGTTTGAAAAGCTTCGTCCAACAGTATAGAACGTTTGATCAAACCCTGATCGTTCGTTCCATTGTCGATAGAATTCCCTAAAGACGCTCGTTTCGTTTGCGTTGTCATTTACCAACTCATGAAAGATCGAGTCGAGCCATTTGTTTCCATAACCATCCATTCAACGTTAAACGCTACAATGTAATAGTTTGAAATCGCTACTTGGTTCGTCGGACGTTTCGTTTTGTTTCTTCAGCTTTTCTTTGTACAATTCACAACTCGCCTTACGACAACACCACCGTCTCTCGTCAACTCCTTTTATAACAGGTTTAGAATATATTTCAAACTACTGTTTCAACTCGTCTCATAGAAAAAATGCGTCCGTTTACTCGCTGTGTTTTCAGGCTGCCTGGGAAACTAACATCTTTCCTTGTTGCTTATATACGTACTGATGTGTAATGCGATTACCAGAAGTATTCGTCGACCCTTTGAAACGTTGCCGATCGCCGCTTCTTTCACTGACTCGTCTTACATTCGAGTAATTTTGAATCGAGATAGAAAAATATGCACGACCGGCACTATCTGTTATTTAAATTCGTCGAGATATGCCGTGTAAATTTACAAATACCCACGCCGAAAAGTTTGGTAAAAAGTTAGCAGGGGAGCAACGTCTCCCCGATTCTGTCGCCGGCTGGATCGGCGCGCTTTTCAAAAGGTCGCTCATACGGAAAACCGTGCAGATTACAAATTGAAAAACCTCGATTACATGCGTAACATTATCTAAATTACTTGTTCGGTTTCCCACACGATGATCGTCGTTCGGTCACGTGAAACGTCTATTAAAAACCGGTATTATACAGTGCGCCTTACGTGGCATAGCACAAACCAAAAGACGTGTTCGACGCGAGTAGAATTCGGGTATAACACGATTAAAGACTGTAAAACAAACTCTGAAACTGAGACATCGTTCCGGTACGTGAGCACCAAACGAATCTTCCCTTTTAGTTTCGTTCCTTCGTTTCCTTATTGTCACAACAATTGCTTCTTTGATTGTTAACAAGTTATGCAAGCAACGGGAACACGAAATTTGGTTCGTGCTATTCGTTTTACGTGAATAATAATTCTCAAAGAACAAGATGTTTTCGCAAAAATGATACGACATTCGACACGGTGTCGAGTTCCATGACCACGCCGTATAATCATTTTAAAGAGAATGACGATGCGAGTAAATAACGTTCACCCCGTATCTTTTTTTTCTTTTAATATACATATATAAAAATCTAATACTTTTTCATGACGTCAAGCGCGACGTTCGACGTGAAAAATAATTTGAATCGATGATATTTAATTGGCGATCGACGTATTCGATCGTCTATAAAAGATCTAACATTGATTTCCTCTGCTTTGAAAGGTAAGTAATAACCACGATGCGTTAGGAATAAAAATCGTTTAAACAACTATCCAATTGATAAAATTCTCGATTCGAGAGTGTCATAGAAAAATATAAATCAGCGGTGTATTTATGGTAATTCGGATTTCATTGACGAACAAAACTGCATACCAGGAAGACCCGCCATAGCGATAATTACTTAGCACTATTATCGATGCAGAATCCAGTACGCTACGTAAACTATCCAATTCTCGTGCTTTCGCGAGCACTTTTCCTATTTACTGTCTAAAACAAAAGTGGTCAAACTTCAACTGCGCGGATCTTTTGAAGACCCTAATCGACAATTAAAACCCAAACGGTGAACAAGTTTGGATGTTTCTTTTAAAAAGAACTTAACACAATTTAAAAGTAGAATTATTAACAAGTACGTAATATCAGATATTTGAAGTTTGAATACTTCTGATCTAAAATGTGATGCTTCATGGATCATATCTGACGAGCGTGAGGCGTAGATCATTTACAAAAATGTACATAATCGTTTTTCGACTATCGACCTCGGTCCAGAATAAACAAAAAGAAAGTGTTACTACATACTGGGTTCGATACCGATCGTTATGTAAAAAGAAGCTCACCAATGTCCAGCAGGTGATCGTAAATATTTCTTAGAAACGCTTGCATAACAAAGTCGCAATAACGCGTTCTTAAATGACTTAGAAACAAACGTTTCGAAACGACGAATATAAAGTATTTATATAAAATCAACTTCCACTTATTCGAATCTCAAATACTTCACAGCGGCTTCATCGCTCTGTTTGAGCAAAACTTCCTCTTCTTCCTCGTCCTCTTCCTGTTCCTCTTCGTGTCATAATTATTCCACACTCGTAGACTCAATGTTCCACTAAAAGACAACACCTAAGACTCAGCCTCCTCCTCCTCGCGGAGGATCATTTACACTCGTTCAGTTTCACTAGTGGCAAATTCAAGAAATATACAATCGTTCAATGATTTATGTTTGCATCACAGTGGTTTTTTTCAGCTTTTCGTTTTACTTAGTTTAAAAAATAAGCGACACGAGTCTAAAGAGAATACGATTGGCAGTTTTTAGTCTGCTCTTTATGCACTGAATCGTGAACTGTACACTTGTTACCGGTTAAAAATGATTTTCATTTCAATCATCCATGTTTCGTTTCCATTGTTTTAAATTTTCAGTAGCGAGCTGCTCTCATGCATTATTGCAATCAAGAAGGTGAGATTGTAAACGTTACTTTTGACAATACCCATCTTGGTGTATAGTGTAGGCAGTACAGATTTAAACGTTTCGATGAACGATCGAAAATTGCAAATTGACATGAACTGCGATCAAAATTCTACGATGAAAGAAGAAGTTCGTACGCTGTTTAACTTTATCAGGTGTGAACGAGACGTCCATTATGAAAAGAAGCTCGAACTGTGTATTAAATCACTGTAACCATTAGAGATCGTAAAGTAAATCAGCATTACTTCAAACACCTTCTCTCGAAAGCAGTAACAAGCGAAGAAAACCATATCTTCCAGATATGTTTGTCCTAAGTTGTCGTTGCTCCTCCTATCGTATTCAAAGTAATGTTGAGATTCGTTTATCGACCATCTCTATAATATAAGGAACGAGGAGGATCTGTTCGTCGATCCTTTCACGCTTTGCATACGAAACTGGAATATTTATGCAAAGCGTCGTCATTAAAACACTGAAATCATGCGAAACGTACAGTTTAAAGAAAGAAAGTTCCAACCTTTGGTAGAGTACTATGCGAAATCATAAGACGAATCTATCCACGAATTGTTCTGTTCAACGATTCGGCAACTTCGTTGAACAACGGCGTCAACGAGTCGACGTCCTGTAGCTCGTCGAAGTTACCAAGCGGGTCCAAATCGTTCGCCTCCGGGTCGGTAACCGCGAGAAAGTTCGCGTCGAGCAGGTCGTCGACGGTCCTGCACAAACTGCTCGAGGCAGATTCGTTCGCAGCTTCGTTGTGCAAGTTCAAAGAGTTCAACGTAGGGCTCGAGAGCATCGGCTCGTTGGTCTCCTGATAAGCTTCCTGCGATTGAACCGTGTGCAGCGGCGTCGACGGATACGACCTCGAACCGTTGCTATCTTCCGTGTAAGACGGCGTGTACGTGGATACTGGCACAGGTAACGGCGTGTTAGGATACGAACGCGACTGTATCATCTTCTGCAAGGCTCCACCCACTTGTAAGTCGAGCACGTTCGATGGATCCAGCATGTCTTCTTCCGACAGATTTAAATTCGAATTAGGCAGCGCGTCCAACACTATCGAGTTGTTCTCGATCAGGCTCTCATCCGCGGCCTGTTCCGGCAGCATCTGCAAGCTCTGAGTCCCGTCCTCGTCTAAAATGTTCAATATGTTCGTCATATTCTCAGGCGTGATCTCTTTGTCGCTCATCAAGAAATTTTGATCGTCCGATATAAAATTTGAATCGACGTCGTCCAGTAGATAAGTCGAAGTCCCTTCCTGTGGTCCCATCGATCCGAAATCAGTGAACTCGCTGGGTACCGGCGTAGGCGCTATAGAGCTGCTCGTAGACGGGTTGAAACTCTGGCTTTGGAACGATGATAAGCAATGCTGCGTGGAGATAGGGGACATCAATGCGGGGTTCACCATTCTGTGTAACGGGACCGATTGCGACCTGTACAGTTCGTTGCTAAACTGTTTATTATTGTGGAACAGCTCGCTGATCTCTTGGTCGGGCTGGTTCTTCTGATAGACGTTCTTGATCTCTTGCAGATTCTCCTGACTCGGATAATTGATGAGCAACTGCTTCTGCGGCGCCAAGTCGGAAGTTAAAAACGCGGCACACTGCGGTCCTTGTCCCTCTCTCTTCTGGGTAACCGAGACCTGTGCCATTCCGCTGTCCACTTGAACTTCCGAAGACTTGGTAGAGATCAACGGTAGCTGCGGTGTGGACGACGCTTGCCTGATCAATTCCGGGCCGCTCGTGGGAACTACGAACGTGTCGTTTTTGCTGGTATACGGCACGCTGCACGATATCGAACGAGCCAAAGACTTGTGCACGCGACCTCTGGAATTGGTCGCCTGTAGATTACTTCTCGATCGCGGGACAGGCGTGTTACGCGGCGAAACGAACGGGCTCGCGTTCGCGGAATTGGATTTGGAAGCACGGCCGTTGATGGGCGAATGCGGACCCGGCGATATCGGAGTGAAATTAAATATTCGACGACGCGTGTTGGGACTCTGCGGAACCGTGTTGGTGATCACGTTCGAGTCCTGTACGTGTTCGACGACGTTCGTCTCGAAGCTGACCCTGCGTCTGGTGTTACTCTGGCTCGAATGGTTCAGCAAAGTCGGTAGTATCAAGTTATGCTTCTGAGTGGCATCGCGTTTCTCGACGTTCTGTCTGACGATAGCGGCGGGCAACGCCTCGACAGGCGTGTGGACAGTCCTCCCCTTCAAATTCTGTTGCAGTATCAATCTTAACTGTGACACTTTATCAGATCTCGATATTTGCTCGTCGATGGCGATAGCGTTCGGTTCCACGTCCGAACTCGACGAGTTACTCTGTTGAAAATACTGTAATAGTTCCTCCTCTTGTTCCTGCGAGTTGTTACCTCCGTTTAAGTAATCGTCCAAAGCGTCCGAGTCGATGGATCCGAGCTTCTCAGTTTTACTCACGATGCTAGAGTTCTCCTGTATCAGTCGGATCTGGTCCTTGGTCAAAACTGTCGACTCCTCGGTCGCGTTCGAGCTACGATCGAGATTACCGTGACAACCGTTCACTTTGATGCAGCTCTTGGTACATGCCAACGACTCGTTATCACAGTTTTTCATCGGCTGATTGTTAACAGCCTCGTTCGCTTTGCATTTGGTGGGCTTCAGATTACCAGCTAGTATCACCGAGATCTTCCCAGGACGTTGTATGGATGTAAGCTTAGGCAATAACAGATTGGAATGCTCGACATTCTCCTGCAGCTGCTGTTCCGTCAGTTTCGTCTGCTTCTCGGGGCTGGTCTCCGACGGCTGGTTCAACACGATTGGATTGGCACGCTTTCTGGAATTTTTCGGCTTGATATCTCGCTGTGTATTCACGCAGTTGGTCATCACTACACTAGGGTTGCTATTATTCTGTACATCTTCGATCGATTGTACCACTATATTATCACAGTTGGATTCCAGGGAGATGTTAGATGGCTGACTACTAGCTTTAAGAACTTTCTTCTGCCGGCTGGCCACCACGGCGGACAAACTCAGTTTAGTCACCGCGTTCTGCCCGCCGGAAACGTTTGTACCTTGAAACGACTGATTGGATTTAGCCTTCTTGTTTCCCTTGTTCGTCCCCGCTTTATTATCGACAGTCTTTTCTTTGTTCTGGTTCTAAAATACGAGAACGCGAGAGAAGAGTTAAATCGATCGTCACCGGGATTCGAACGTCGGGTATACTTATAACAGTTTATATACCTGTATAACAGCATCGAGATGACGGTGTTTTTGATCCCTTGTGTGTTCTCGCTGCTGTAATTTTCGTTGCAACTGTTCTCTCAGTTTTCCCGATTTCCCGCTTACAGGTGTCACGCACATATCCGTATTCGGCTCTAAACATTTAAGGATGTATTGGCTATACAATCAATCCCAAAAGTTTATGCACTTTAGAAACGCATTTTTTAGAAAGAAATCAGACGTTGGAAGAACATTGCTAATAATAAACAACA